CTGTATCAATGGATGCCATCAATTAACCAATACAGCATGGATGCTTTCCCCCCTTGTGGAAAGAGGATGGCCTCGGCAAAACAGGAGGCTGCCATGTCTTTCTAGCAGACAGCTGCCATTTTGATTAGCTGAAAGGGACAAAACAGCATACACACTAGGATAGTATGAAGTCTCTCTCCTACAGAACCTTGGCCCTCTAAGGCTTTAATAGCCACCTCATTGTGGCAGCAGCATCAGACTGCTGCCAGCAAGCACACTTCTCCAGAAGGCACACTGCAGAAATCCAAAGCAATCAAGATTCACGGAAACCAAGTATGCGATAAACACTTGATGCACAGCAAAGTCAATGAGATAGCAGGCAATTGAAGTTTATGAAATCCCTCTCTGTGACTGCAAAAACAAGACCTGCCAACTGCATGACAAAGAGCACGACGGCATTTAGGACTCTAAGTCTGGGCCAGGCATTGGCAAGAGCTTTCAAATTATTGGCTAGTGGAGGGCCTTCAGCCTTCCAAATGGAGAATTCATTGGCTGAGCTTATACTAAGAGAGACCAACAGAACATACTGTTGCATTTTGGCACCCATAAAGTGAAACATTCATGCTTTGCTGAGAAGAAAAACAAGACCCCTGTGTGCTAAGGCCATGTAGACCCTGAGGATTAATCCTGGGGCGAAACAAAAGCACAACACAACAAATGAACAGAAGTGGCCATTATAAAACAGGGCTCCAAGTGTCTTGAAGCAGATACAGTGGTACCTCGGGTTAAGTACTTAATTTGTTCTGGAGGTCCGTTCTTAACCTGAAGCACCACTTTAGTTAATGGGGCCTCCTGCTGCCGCGCCGACGGAGCACGATTTCTGTTCTCACCCTGAAGCAAAGTTCTTAACCTGAAGCACTATTTCTGGGTTAGTGGAGTCTGTAACCTGAAGCGTATGTAACCCGAGGTACCACTGTATTCTAAAGCTATAGGGCAGTAATATGACCATAACGTCTTGCCCAATGGTTTAGAGCCTCTGCTTTAAGACACGAGTCCCTATTCTGCAAGGCCAACAAAAAACAAGGACAGCTGAATCGAGAACAATAAATGGGCAGAGGAGTGCAGACCCTTGTGAAGTGCACCTGCATATTCAGAATAAATGCTTCCTTCCATTTCTGAGGCTATATACAAGGATGCTTTTCATTTAGAAGTTGACTTTACGGTCACATTTACACACTACATTAGAATCAGTGACATCATTGTACATATCAGCCAAAGGGACTCTTTACTCTGGTCTGGGCAAAGTTCCTTAATGGAATTATACTGTTACTATAAAGTATGTTTTTAGAACCACTATTGTGTGCACTCTAGCAATTAGTACTTCAATCTCACCAAAACATAGAAAGCTCTCTGAACAATGTACAAGCCACCTATTTAGCTTCCTTCTGAAGAGAAGGTCCAATCCATCAACTGGCTAATACAAGTGTTCTGCCGGTGCAAGGATTCCTCCTTACCAGAGGGAACGGTCTCTCCTCTCCTCCTCCCAAGCACTATTCTGGGGGTTCTCCCAATTCTCGAGAGTGGATTTGGCAGGAAGGAGAGGGGAAAAGTCCCAGTGAGTTAGCGAGAGCCTATTTGCTGGCTTCCACTAATGTAGTGGGTTAGTTGAATCCAGGCTAGTGTTTCTAACCAAAACTTAAACAATCACTGCTTCATTATCAACCTGCACCTGGTTTATAATTGCAGTTACTTGGAAACAAAACCCATTAATTTCCGTGGGATTTACTTCTGCATAAGCAAGGTTGAATGAACCAACCTGCTTTAATATCCAATTCCATACACAGCTGCAGTGAACCCAAGTGTAATCGGCACAATATCCCCAAAAGGTTTGCACCTTCCTTTCTCATCCTTATTTTATTTTAAGGCATATAAATATCCTTGTTTGGAAACTCATGTGGCAGTAGTGAGTAAACAGGAAAACTGGAAGGCCAAACCACTTCTTTTTTTTAAAGGTCCAAAGGTTGCAAACTAGGGCCTGGGTGATATTATGACAGTCATGCTACCAACTAAGATGCAAACACAACCTGTTCAACTTTCAGAACAATTAAGCCTGGGACACACCCATTTGTCCTTGAGCAGCTCCTATAAACAAGTATTTTAATGTTCATACACCCTAGGATTATGAAAGCTACACAGCTGCATGTTCTTGTAGCCAAGGTTTGAAAGCATTTTGTTATAAATAATGGAGACCTGGAGAGGCTAACCCTTTTCATTGGCTGCAGTGTGGCCAATGCTCCCTTCACTTGCATGCACAGGCAGCTGAAAGTAGACAGCGCCTCCCTGCCTCATTCTCCCAATCAGCTCAGTGCAGGGATAGGCAGCCGAGCCTCCCACTTGCCTTGCAAAAGTGCCTCTTCTTATTGCAGCACAGCACCATTCCAAGGTCTTAGGGCTGAGGAAACAAGTAGGTGGGCTCCGTTCCTGAGCCCAAAGACCTTCTTGGAATGGTGCAACAGCAGAGAATGAAATGGTGCCTTGCAAGCCAAAGACACATACAGTATTTTTTGCTCTATAAGACACACCTAGTTTTTGGAGGAGGAAAACAAGAAAGAAAATATTCTGAATCCCAGAAGGCAGAACAGCAAGAGGGATTGCTGCGCAGCAATCCCTCTTGCTGTTCTGGCTTCAGCGAAAGCAACGCAAAGCCTCTTCAGCGCATTGGGAGGAACGCTCCTGCTGCCCTGAAGAGGCTTCACACGGCAATCCCAGAAGCCAGAAAAGCAAGAGGGATCACTGCGCAGCAATCCCTCTTGCTGTTCTGGCTTCAGCGATAGCTGCGCAGCCTGCATTTGCTCCTTAAGATGCACACACATTTCCCCTTACTTTTTAGGAAGGAAAAGGTGCATCTTATAGAGCGAAAAAGACGGTAGTTTTTGGAGGACTGGCTGACTTTCCATAGCATGTCAGTGGGAACATCACAGCACAACTGTGGGGATCACCCCAGTAAAACAGTTTTTAATTTGCTTAACAAAAATTAATAATGCCAAATAGTTAGATATTTTTTTTTGGGTGTACAGAAAACCTTTGGTACAGAAAACTCACTGGCTAGCCACCCTTGATCTAGACATCATCTGCTCCTACCCATTTCCCCCTCTGAGCGTGCTATGGTCTTGGGGCATGCTGAAGTCCTTACAAGCTAGAAGGGACACAAGTCAAATTCTGACAGAAATAAACATGCTGCTTGGTGCTAGTGCAAACCTGGATTACAGGTCTGACCCATAGGAAACTTCTATTTTGGGAGAAGCAAAACAGACTCAAACTGAGTCACATCTTGACTTCAGGCAAGTTCAGGCTCAAGACAAATGTTGACCTCTCTGGTTCAGTCACTGGTAAGCAGGAAAGGGTGATGTCACAACGAACCCTTCCTGTAACTACAAATCACAAGGAGAACTTTGACTCTGCACCATGTGTGTGAAGGCTAGTAATTTATGATGCGGGGATGCCGGATCTACATGCAGCCCAAAACATCAGTAAGGGAGAAGAAAGCTGAGCTCCCCATCCAAATGTTATATGCATGGGATGTTTTGTATCAAGCTTGCGAGCAAGAATGCGGAGGATGAGATCGGTCCAATAGAAACCCTAAGGATCTGTTGCCCAAATGCCCTCAGTTAAATTTGATTGGCAGATATCAGCAACATTCTTGCTCATCAAAACCTCAGGACTACAAGATGTCTACATGGAGTACTACTGAATGAACCTTCTATTTTTTCTCTGTGAGGAAACTATATAAATATGCATACACACCTACATATATACAGGGTGAGTCCTTTAAGAGAGTACACATGTTTACAGAGTACACATGTTCCACGGGGCCTCTTTTAAAAGACCCCCCCTGTATAACCATTTATCACCAGTGCACGTATGGATTTTTTCTGCATATAAGCATGTTTGGAAGCCACAACTGGCCACGGCTTCATCAAACATGAATGCACAGCTAAACTCTTAACAATGATTCACATGTGTTTCCCATGTAATTTTTTTGCGATGGGCAAAGTATCCCTCAAACACATCCCTGGTGCTAATAAGGAAAAGGAGGCTGGATTCCCCACTCTGAGCAGCTTCATGCAAGTGAAAAAGGGTGTCGTGAGCAGACCTCAGAGACTGTTTTATTGGAATGATTTCCTGTACACTGCAGCACAAGGGCTCCTAGATAGATCTGGTGCTTCCAGGGGCCAATGTTCAACCTGAGCCTTTTGAAGCAGCCCACTGCCAGTTTGGCCTCGCAACAAGCAGCACCCTCAGGCCCAGCCCCAAAAGCTCCGAGGGCAATGCCCACTTCTAGACCATCCCCTTTTGCTTCCAAATCCAAGGCATCGACTTAAGGAAATGTAAACATCATTCTCTTTTCATATGCTCTCTTGCAGCCTCCTAAATTCGCATTCGGGTTTAGATTGGGTTTCACTGTCCTAGGAAATGACAAGGTTTGAATGTGGATAGTTTGGTGGAAGGAATGAGGAATTTGTTTTCCTTGGAGAACACAAATGTTATTGTACTGGAGGCTTGCTCTCCCAACTTACCAGGCGGCTAGATCTCCATTTCTCTCTGCCATTTCTAACTCATAAAGCTAAGAAGTCCCCAAGCACAGCAAAACCTGGGCTACCAGCCTTTGCCCTCCTCTATAATGGCTGGTTTCAACAAGTAAAGCCATTCCTCTTGAGAAAGAGAGTCCCCCACCGCATCACATATATTTTGGCAGCTGCATTAACAACTTGGCTCCCGAGAAGAACCCACTGCATGCTTCAGGGAGTTTCCATAGATAAAACTACAGGCCGGAAGCTACCATGGTCAACCACCGCAGAGCCTCCCAATGCAGAGTGACTGCGTCATAGCATATAGCTTATAAAGGGTGGGAGCAGCTGGGTTTTGTTTCCCCTTCTGGCATCCAAGGCAACAGTCAGGTAGAGTCAATGAGACAGGATGAGCGGGAGGGAAACCTATCTTCCCCTTGCATGCCTCCGAGCTCAGTAATGTCTAAGATTAAAAAAGCCAACACTGGTTGGTGATTCCTTGACAGTCACTGTGATCAGGTTAGCTGTCACGTCTGTGACAAAGACGTGCTCGATGAGGCTGCGAGTGGGCTTCCAGTCCTGGCTAGTCTGGACGGAGACAGACATGTTCTGGCCTGCTCCGGGGAAAGAAGAAGAATCTCTGTCTGAATCCGAGCTCGTCTCCTCTTCCCAGCTCATCTCAGAGAGGGCCGAAGCCTTGTGGTTCTCTGCTGCGGGGCACCCCTCCTGGGCACACGGAGGCTTGCCGCTTTTCGCGGCCGCATCCCTCTCGCCCACAGCTGCTCGTTGTGCCGGCTTCTCGCTTTTGCGAGGGTCTGTGCCTGCCAACGCTGCCCCTGCGTTTGTGGCGTTTGAGCCGCTGCCAGGCCCAGTACTGCCCTTGCCCACACCTGTGCTCCCAGCTAGGCTGCCGCCGGTGCCCTTGGCCACAGTCCCACAAGCATGGCGGGAAACGTTGCTGCCGCCTGTGGAATTCATCCCATTTTTCACACTCTGCAGATTTAAAGCTTGGAGGTTGAGCTCTTGGTTGGAAGCTGGGTGGTTGTTGCCAGAGCCGGCGGGGGGCTTGTTGCCATTGTGCAAGTTCTGGGCGCCAGCACCATACCCTGTTTTCTGCTCCCCCAATGCGCTGCTGCTGCCAGGCCTCTTTGTCACCTTGGAGCCTTGCACGGTCAACTCCAGATCCCCACTGGCTTTCTGGTTTTTCAGTTTTAAATCGAGCCCCAGGCCACTCTTGCAGGACATGGCCGACTTGAGCGTCAGCCTCCCCACAGCAGAGGCATCTGCGGAGTTCTGGTTCTGCGACATCCTGCTCATATAATGTACAATGGAGCTCTGCCAGCTGATGCCGCAGTTTGGGCTCCCAGACGCGGTGCTTTTCACAATACTGGAGAGGTTGTCGGTGGAGGAAGCCCCAGAACAAAACCCACCAAATGCACCTTGGGCTTCCTTCATGTGGGATTTAAGCATGGCAATGCCAGAACTCTGAGCGTTGTGCTGCGGCTGCATCTTGCTCATTAGTTTGGGAGCTCCACCCCCACCTCCCATCTCCTTTTGGTTTGTTTTCAGCACCTTTGTCAGGTTGACAGTCCTCTTCGCTGCCTTCTGCTCCGGAGGCAGAGGCTTTCGCCCACGCTTCTTCCTAATAGGGTCCTTGTTCTCAGGTTTGGCAACCAGGATCTGAGCTTTCTTTTGAGGCACTGGGTGGCTCTCTCTGCTCCGCTGACCTCTTTTTGTCTCAAGGTCACTTTCATCCTCTTCATCGGAGGAGGAAGATGAGGAGGAGCTTGAGGAAGAAGAGCTGCTGGATTTGCTTTTTGCAGGCACCTCCGGTTCCTTTAAAAACAAAGTAACACACACATGCAAAGAGTAGGAGCCACATTAATATGCTCTGCTTCTTCAGTATAGTGGTACCTCGGGTTAAGTACTTAACCTGAAACTGTTCTTAACCTGAAGCACCACTTTAGCTAATGGGGCCTCCCACTGCCGCCATGCAATTTCTGTTCTCATCCTGAAGCAAAGTTCTTAACCCGAGGTACTATTTCTGGGTTGGCGGAGTCTGTAACCTGAAGCGTATGTAACCCGAGGTACCACTGTAATACTGTCAGTGAAGGCTTTTGAAGGGCCGCTGCATGGAAAGTCCATTAAAGCAGAGAGATCTACTCTACTACAAAACATTTTAAAAACACTAGTAACTTCCTGTTATTACAAAAAGGCATCTGGTTCTCTCTTGTGGCATGCCGATACTTAAGATCATGCAGCCTTACATAAAACTTTTAAGTAAGATTCTAATAATAACAATAACAATATGCTACCTGGACAACTATTTAATTTTCAGAACTCAGAAAACTATTTCCACTTTCACTGGCTTCAAAAAGGAAATGTTTCTGGATACAGGCATTATTTAGTTTCCTGATTGCCCCTGGAGAATAAAAACTGACTCCAGGTGACTGGGCACACATAACCAGCTGTGGGATAAAGCCACAGACTACACAAGACACACTTCTTAACAGAGGCACATGAAGTATGTCTTTATGCAAGCAAGCATGTGTCCCCCCACAGTCTGCTGTACTAAATATCCATTTCTAGCTGCCTCTCAGAAATCACCATTACTTACAACGTTCTTCCTGGGTCTGCCTCTAGGTCGTTTGCCCCTCTTCCGATTTTGCACCTCCTTCTCATGCTCCCTGAAGAGACAACAAAATGACAGTGCAGTTCTCAAAGTGTCTCTTCTCGCAGAAGATTCCATGGGTGAATAAAAACCACGGGTTAACCATTCTGAGAAATGTAGGAAAGTATGTCCGTTTTTCAAATAAATGCCAGCATGTGACAATGCAGATGACCCTGCCTGGTTCTGTAGTATTCCATGGCTGGTGTTCTGCCATCCCTAGCTTATTGACCTGCTTCATTACTAAGCAGTAAAAGACATTTGCCTTACCCATCCCTCTGTACATTACTGTTATTTGCTACTTTTCCCTGGTTATGTGTGTGCAGAAGTAGATGATATATTCTGTTTTTGTTATCTCAAAAGTTTAATGGCACTGTTCCAAAGAGATCAAAAACACATTTTTTCCTTCTCTCTGGAGTTGCTCTCTTAGGAAAAAATTATGGTGTTTTACAAATAAGACTGATTCTTTTAAAGTTTTGAGATGGTCTATTGTGCAAGCAATTTAATATTATCCATTTGCATTCCGTACACATGAATTTTTAGTAGTTTGTGCATTTGTGCACAACACACACATGTACACAACACACACATGTAAACAGGACTATGGTTTCAGAGATATTAGTTTTTCATTGACGAGAAATACTTAAATGCCAAAGCATAAGCATTTTTTAAAAATGCATTAAACTTGCATGTACTGTCCTTCTTTCTTTTGTAGTACACAAGCAACACTAGAAATGGAAATCTGAACATGAAAACTGAAGGTCACAAAGCAGCAGGGAAAATAAGCTGTTCTTAAAAGAGATGACTCACACAAAACTCTGTCATTGGATAAATATTTCCCCACTAATCACTAGCAACTGATTATTAATACTAATGACTATCCAACCAGAGGAAATGTGGGGAAGCATTGCTATAAGAACACAAGACAAGCCTGCTATTTTGTAAAGCTCTCCTGCCCTGCAAACACATGAGAATGTGGTAGAACCTGATGATATACCATATATTTACATTAATACAGCTGAACCACCATGCAGTGGAAACTTTACGTGGCAAGTACTTTGCTTGTATTCAACTCACATCATGTATTACCTACTACATCAAGTGTATGTTATTTCATTAAACATATGTGGTCTTCATATATCCCCAAACATTTGGATTTTTGGTTCTATTCCACCAACAGAGCAACACAATAGTTGTGATAAACCGAGATCAGAGATAAGCCACTACTATACTGATGGAATAGTCAACAGTGTGTGTACCCAGACCAAGAGTGAATAAACACACACCTAATAAACAATAAATAGCAGCAAGAAAAATGGCAAGTACACCTAGGGTAGCCCTGGAAAAAGCACCACAGCCCACCCATCAGGGACTGTGCCAATGCCTACATGCTGCACACACAGAGAGGCAATGGACTCACAACAGGGACACTACCATCCTGAGTCACCACACACAAGAAAACGCAAGGCAAGGCAACTTTGCCCCCAAATCCATCAGCTTCAGTGGCTCAATCTGTAGCACATGGCCGCAGGCTCCTCACAACCATTGTTTTGGAGCACAATAAACAAAGCAGAGGGAGGAAAACTTGCACAAGATCTTGCTAGGATCTTGGCATAGCTGCCATGGAACTTGCAAGGCAAAATGCACCTGCCTGGAGCAAGTCATTTTAACAACCCTACAGAGCAGCCTTCCTAAACCAGTTGCCCTCCAGATGTTCTGGACTACAAGTCCCATCAGCCTCATCTAGCAGGGCTGTCTGTCTGGGACGTGGAAGTCCAGCCACGTGTGGAGGGCACTAGGTTGAGGAAGGCTGCTACGAAGGAACAGCTGAGTGCAGCTTAGTCACCGCTGTTGGCCATGAGTTGGGCCTCCCTTCTGGCTTATGTGGAACACGGTGTGGGATAGACCCTGCGGTTGTGTGAAAACAGCTTGTAGGGAACAAGGGGAGATGCAGACTGAGAGAAACAAGCAATGGGTAGCATTTGCAGCACATAGTTCCTATTACTGGATGCACAGTAGCGAGTGGTGCCACCCACATGCTCTGCCAGTGCTCATGCTCAACATGATAGGTGTGGGGAAGGGAAGTGAGAGACTGCATTGATGGAGTATACTACCTCCTTCCCCCAAACCAGGAGTTGTAGCGGAACACAGTGGCTGTTTGCCATGCTTCCTGCAACCAGGCTGTGACCTTCCCTGCTCAAGATCAAAAAGGACTCAAGCACCTGGTCTGTGGTAGCAATGGTTGGAGTGGGATGCTTGGCCTCTGACAACAGAGGGCATGCCTTCATTTTAAAAGGTGAGTGTCTCCCCTTTGTGTAGGAGACACTTCTCCCTATTCTGGGAGTGGGGGGAACGACAAGATAGTTCAGTCAAGACACAGCACGGCATTCATTCTAGCAAAGGGGCAGCAGGACAGAGAGATGGGAAACAGTTGTAGCCAACTACACATTACAGCACATACTCCTGCTTCCTTTGTTTACCTGTGTGGGGTTTTCTGTGCAGGTACAACAAGCCATGGGAGTGGAGTTGTGTGTTTGCGACCAGGTACTTGCTTGCTCTAGCCTGTGACACTCAATGTGCTCAACTTCCTGTGTGTGTTTTGAGACCAGGCTGCTCTGTGAAAAGTGCTCCATTTATGCACAGAGTGCCCTTTCCTCACAGCTTCCCATGCCAGAGTTGCCTCTTCTGAACAATGCCCGTGGAGCCAGAGAAGTTATATTCATCCTGTGTTGGATTTTTACCATCTGGGGGAGGCGCGCTGTGATTGGGCAGTAACATATACATCATACCCTATGGCTATTTTTATTTTATTTTATTCCCCATTTAAGCCAACAGAAGGAGAAATTATCTGCACCAGCTTTAACACTTGTGTAATGTCATTCTGCATGTGGGGGGTGTAGCATGGATGAAAGAGATATAGAATCTGTCCCCCATGACTCCCCCATCCTATTTCGGCTGCTCCATCTGTTCCTTTTGCTGACAGAACGGCTGTGCTGTGCTGGGAGGTATAGAAAGGGCTTCTGACAAATCTTAAAGCCCCTTAAACCAGTGTTAACTCTAGCACAGGATTGCACCCTCGGTGACCAATGCACTACTATTATTTCCTTTAGCTGCTTCATTTCAGTTTCCAGCAAGCACACACCCACACATTCTCCACCCCAAATTATATCTTCTGGTCACAAAAATCGTCCAAAGTGGGGAGAATCAGAGTACTTAGCTCAAGATTATTCCTTTCAACAGAGACCAGATACCCACAAGGAAGCTACAAGTAAGGCACACCACCAACACCCTTACGGTTGAAAGCACATTGTCCTTGAACACAAAGATTCAATTTCAAGTTATTTTACTGCTAGTACCCACCTTCTGTGAACCTACCTACTTTAAAAAAAAAAAGCTATTCAGAGCAGAGACCATCACAAGGCAACAAATTCTATGAAAGCCCTTCCCTTTCACAGTTGCAGCCTATCAGCTTCATGATTTTCATTTTAAGAACGAATCATCTTTGACATTCATTATTTCCATGCTACTCATGACATTCAAACCTCTTTCATGCCCTTATCTTAGTAATATTGATCCAGATGATGGGGGTGCATAGTCTTCAAGAGAATAGCTCAAATCTACAGATCTTTTTAGTTATTACCCACCCTGCCCCTGTTACTTTCTCCAGTTGTGCATTGGGGGTGAAACAAGAACTCCTCTCATTTTAACTAAATGCAACCAGAGAGGCTCCATGGACACTACTTGCATGGGTAGGATGAACAGGTGAAAGAGAGAAATGGGCACCAGCACCTTGATCAGTTATGCTGAAAAAAGACATTTCAGGAGGTGTTGCTGGAACAGGGTAGGGGACCAGGAGAGCTGCTTAGCCTCAAGCCACAGATATATCTATTTTTAAGGATGCATGTGAAACCACACGTGGAGCCACTACAGCTGCTGGGACTCAGCATATGTACCCTGAAAGCTGTTCAAGCTACCAAACAGACCTGCAAATATTTCTGGGGCTAGAGGAGGTTTGCAAGGTGGTTGGCTAGTTTGTTGTTACTGCAGAGTGAAGGAGGGCAAATACTATGTTAGGTCCCCGACTCCCACCACCAAAGACTAAGGCAGGAATCACCATGCAGCAGCTATTGGTGGTTTCACCTAGTGAATTTCCTCACCATTTGCCCTGATGGTTAAGACAGTCTGCCCAAATATAAAGACCTTGGACTTAAGCCTGTCCAAATGAATAAACAAAGTTTGCCTGCTGTTCTGTTACCCAATCACTCATGTATGGAGAATTCCTTCAGGAACTCTTTGCAGTCTGCTTCAGATTTGACTATCGTAAGTTTTAGGCATTCTTAATTCTACAACTACAAACTGAAAACCCAAGAACAACACAGAACATCGCAAGTTGGAGACTTTTGAGCAAGGTAGCTGTAAGGGGGTTACAATATTTTCTTAACAGTAAGTAGAAATTGTTTCCTGTATTTTGTCAGACATCTTTTCTAATTTTAGGTTGGGATTAATTTAATTGTAATTATTATTATTAATTATTATTATTATTATTATTTGCTATCCTATAAAACAAACAGAAAAAAGTGGCTACTATAAGGCATTTGGAAGGAGAGTGCCAGCAATTTGAGACTGCACTACTATTGCCAAAAGCTAACCTATTTTGCTTCTGAAAGTTTCTCTTCTGTGAGTTTGGACATACAATGCGTCCCACTACTAGCAGACTGGAGCTGAAACATACAAATACTTTACAAGTCATCAAGTTTAAGGACTTTTTTTTGCATGGCGCTGCCCTCTCATGCTACTTACATATGGGTGTTGTTTACACAGCACAGCAAGTGGGAGAGAGACTTTCAAATAAAGCCTACAGTGTAGCCTAATACATGCAGTACAGAAGCAGGAAAAGCAAGCTACAGATTTAAGCATTGTTTGCAAACATCCCTCCCACAACAAGATGTGACTTTTTGAGTCTACCGAGACCACTAAACACACCAGGGCATTAAAACACTTTATATTTAGGTACCAAGGAAAGGCTGTCTTGAGTACTGCAATTTAGGGGGAACAATGAATACACAATGGTCTACTCTGTATTCTGTTTCCATAATCCCAGCTGGGCAGCCTAGAGAACCCTCCTTCCCTCCCTCCCTCCCTCTCAGTTTGTGGCTTACTCACTTCTTCTGAAAGGCCAGGAGTAGCCTGGGATCAAGAATATTCTCTTCGGGTTCCCAGCTGTTATGCCTGGAAAAGAGTAACCAGTCACAGTAAACACAACCTTCTTTTTCTAAAACAAGTAGTTAATAACAGGCAAATGTCTAGTGTTTTTTATTTTTTAACTTTTGAGATAAAGAATGCCCATTTTATCAAAGATACCACACCCTAGAGTCTAGAAGTACCGTTTCATTACAATAACCCTTAGAAATGCTACAGCCCTAGCCGTAAACAACCATCACACTGGCAGATTTAAAACTGAACGGCGGCTATGCTCTTAGAGTGAATTGAAAAAATAATTGATTGGGAAGGTGGGAATTTTTTTTTTGAACTGTGGGCCGTTAAGTGGGGTGAGAATTTAGCAGCACATGACAGGGTAGGTTCAATTTCCATAATGGAAAGGAGAGAGAAGAAAAAGGAGTATTTGCTTGGCAAAGGGGAAACCTCAGGTGGATTATGAATAACTTGAGAACACACACACATGTATGTGCTAAGGGAGAAAAATGAGAAGTCAAGCAAGAAAAGGATAAAAGCAAACGGGGGTGGGGTGGGGGGAAGCCTGGTTTGCAGGCGCAGCTGGCAGGAGGAGTAAACAGAGATGGTAGCCTCTTAGGTTGACAACCCCTCTCCCCAGTCTATGAGGTGGGGGGGGCGGAGGGAGAACACACCACATGCATCAGTTGATATCTCAGGTTTCAGAAGAGAATCCATAGACAACATGGCAAGCAGTTGCAGCTTCTCTGCTGGAGCCTGGGGAATCCTAACAGCTCCCTCAGATCCTCTCCTCCGGCTCCAAACCCCAACCCCCCACTACAAAAAGGGTGTAGTGAAGGTGACCCATGGCATCTGGCCGTGGTTTAATTTGGCAGAGTTAACATATAACACAGGGAGAGAAGTGGTGAACAAAATCAAGGAGGTGCTGGAGAGAGAAAGAAGCTAAGGCACCAATTATGGGTAAACAAAAGAAAGTCCAGCAGGAGGAAACGATGCCCTCCCACCCACCTCCCCGATTCTGGGGTAGGAAAGCAGGAGCCTCGCAGGGGGAAAACAACAAAAAACTAAAGTAACTTCCAAGCGTCTGGAAGCGCCGACCCGGGGGTGGTGTGGGGCAAGCGCCTCGGAGCCCCGTTTCTCCCTCTCGCTCTCTGCGCCCCCTCCCCTCCCCGCCTTGTTTCTCCCCCCCCCCCGCCCCAAACTCAGGGGTCGCCTGGGCCCAGCATCGCCCCGCGCTCAAGCCCCGCCCCTGGACCCCCTTCAGCTCAACGGCTGGCTGGCGCTCAGCTGCTGCGTTCATTGTCCGGACTCACTTGGAAGACCAGCCTCTCCACTTCACCAAATACTCCAGCTTGCCCTGCGCAGGAGAGAGAGAGAAAGGAAGAAAAGAAGGCGCGGGTTAGAGCCAGAGGCGACGCTGAGGAGGCGGCTGCTGCTGCTGCTCCCCGCCGGCTTGCCCGCTCCCTCGCCCGCCCGCCTGCCCACCTTGCGGAGCCGCTTGCTGAGGATGCACTCGGCGGCGAAGACCTGCTCTCCCACGCTGCTCAGCTCCTCCATGGCGCCGGCTGGCTCGGCTCCCGCCTGCTTCTCCCCCTCCGCTGCTTTGCTCGTAGCGGAGCCAGCGTTGTGCCGAGTACAACAAGGCGAGGGGGGCCCCGGGAGCGCGCGCTGCTCCTTCTCCTCCTCCTCCTCCTCCGCCGTCCTCCCTCGACTAGCAGGGCACGCGCGCGCTTCCCTCCTCCGCCGCCGCCAGCGCCTCACTGCCCGCTCGCCTTGGCTCCTTGGCGCACACAATGCAACGCGCGCGCAGCGGGCTCCGCCTCCCCACACCCAGCTCAGGGGCTCCCCAAATTCCCAGCGAGCCAATGAGGAGCGGGGAAGGCGGGGCCAAAGCTGCTTCTGGCGGAGGGAAGGAGCCAAGCGGCCGGCGCTATTGTCTCACGCGGCGTTTTCCTATCCCTCCTCTGGGGATCGGACAGTTGGGTCGGAGCGCGCGGGTGGCTGGTTCCTGGAGTTTAATCCTTGGGAGGAAATAAGGCAAGCGCTTCGGACAGATTTTCTTTCTTTTACTGCACCGTCCCCGGCGGACACGCTCAAGTCAGTCCCGAATAAGGGCCGGCGGCGAGGACTTCCAGGGAACTTTGTCTGAAGTTGGCCTTCGTTTTGGACCGGCGCTGCTGCGAGCAGAGCTTTCCTTGCCAGCGCCTCGTCGTCTTCCAAAGGGGGCCGGAGTGGGGAGGCCGGCGCGTGAATCCCGAGGGCACCGCATGGATCGGTTTGTAGGGGAGCCCTGGAAAGGGTCCCCATCGTGACAGCCCCCTTCCTCTTTGCACAAGTCAGCCGGGCCGTATCGAATTGGAAGGACAGCTGGCACCCGCCGACAAATCGTCACATAAATGGAGTTACAATGGTTTTATTAACTGATGCATTAATAAATTTGTAAATACAAAGCAGCCCCCTTCTACCATTTTTTTTAAAAAACCTTCCGTATTTGGATTGAATATTTGAAAAACAGGTGGAAAAGGAGACCAAACTTTAGCTCGTTCGTATCCCATAAATGGCGTTGTGAGGTGCAGTGCAATACTCAGAAGTAAGCCCCATTGAGTTCAGTTAGAGTTACCTCGGGGTAACTGCGCATAGGATTGCAGCTGAAGCAAGTGAGCTTCGAGGCGGAAATTAGACCTCATTCCTGTGAGCTTTTGGGGTGATCTTACAACAATCTCTTAGGACATGTCATCCCCATTCTGCAGTAGGGAATAAAGATGCAGACTGTCCTTACAGGACTGTTGCAAAGACTATCAAGGTGATGTCAGTGAAGCTGTTGGAACATCCTAACAAGCAGCACTATACAAATGGGAATGGTGCTATTGTGTCAGGAGGACACTTGAAAGTAATGTGATATTTAGTCCCTTCGTTTTAACACAGAAGGATCCCCCTCCTCTATGTTCTGTCAGTCAGTTCATTATGGTGTTTGCCTCATAAGCAAATAGACATTTACACAACCCGAGTTTTAGTAAGATTTATCCCTAATTTATCCCCAGAGTGGCTCGGGAAACCCAGCCAGATGGGCGGAGTATAAATAAAATAAAAATAATAATTAAAAAAATTACCAAACACGACAACTCTACAGAACAGATTTCCCTTCCCTGAGGCACCATAGCCCTGCAGTGCCTTGATTTGAGATGTTGATTGCTCGGAAAGTAATGCTAGAAAAAGGCAAAATTTCAGCCACAGGAGAGAGGAGAAATGGAAGGGAAGGTCCACAGGAAGGAGTAACTAGATCTTTTGTAAATAACGATATGCTGTCTGACTGCAAAGAAAATACTCTTCCTGACAAGTGCCCTTTTTGAGCACTTGAGGAGACCTCACGTAATCTTTACTCTGTGCTTTTGTGGGGGGGGGGGGCAGGGAGAGAGCATCCCAGCCCAGAGAAAACTGGAGGTGGCAAAGAACCTCATCCCTCTGAAGCTCAGAAATAGGAAGGAAGGTTGGGGAGATAAGAGGCCATGTCTCTGGATGAATTAAGCAGACAACTGCTTTGGGCAATGCATAATGAGCAGCTTCAAAGGAAATATATATTCTGCCACTTCCTGAGAAGTGGGGTGGGGGTGGAAATCATGAGCAAGTACTTCAGTGGCCTGGTCCTGCCTTCCTGTTGCCCTCATTAAGTGAATTTTAGCTGGAGCTGAATTCACGGCAGGCAGATCTGACTATTACTATTAGACGTGAGATTAAGTGGAACTCCCATGTGCGGAGACAATTTAACATTGGAGCTGAATGCTGGGGACAAAACAGCAGGAGAAGGCTATTGCCCCGTACCTTGCTTTGTAACTTCATAGAGGCATCTTGTTGCCATCTTGGGGTATTTGCCAAGTGAGCACAAGGGCAGGGCCTTCTCTGTGGTGGTGCTGTGGTTCTGCAACATCACCACAATTATTTGTGCATTTCAGTTATTTATCTCTCTTCTTGCAAGTAGCATTAACACCACCAACGTATTGTTACATGCATCCCAAGCCAGGGCTGTAGCTAAAGGGCAGCAGCAGGTGTGTGTGTGCTAGCTGAGGTGTCAGCCCCAGGTGAAGCCTCCAGAGGGGTGCCACTGAGGCTCCCAGCTTGCGGGGAGGGGAGAGCAGAAAAAACGGGGGGGCGGGGCAATCCTCCTTCCCCTTTCTCCCTGTCTGTCTTTGGAACTGTGTGTAAAAGAGAAATCCCGGAGAAGGCTGCTCTCCAAGCAAAGTTGAAAAGTGGAAGTTTTGCTGCTTTCTTCTTTTGTTTCCCTCAGCATCTCAGAGATCAATTAAAAGTGGTAAAGAGATCAGAACACCACCTCCTGCCCTTTTTGGAAACAGAAGCACTTTGGAGTATTGCTTGCTTATGTGTTCTCTCTCTGTGTGTGTTTGGATCTAAAGGACAACATGCATGTTTATACCATGTGAATACATAAAGAGCTATAAAAACCACAGACTTGGAGGGAACCCAAATGTATCATCCAAATCACACCCCGCCCCCCGTCTTATAACTCTTTAAAATGTCATCAGGATCTTTCCCATCGGGCAGCTGGTGGTAGAATGGCCCAGGGTGGGAACAGAGAGGATACTCCAGGCGCAACATGCTCCGGGGTCTTCCTTGCCTGCCTCCATCTCTCTACTGAGAACCTTCCCACAGAGGAGTTGATGTTAACCACTGTTGGAGACTTGATGCTGGATTAAATGGACCTTGCCTGAACTTTCTCATTCTAGATGAACCTGGCCTAATTTTTTTCTCAGGGAAATATGAGTAGTTCCATCTTCAAAAATTCTAAAGGAACAACTTTAAAGTATTTTCATTTCAGCCTGCTTTTAATTACGGTAATTGTTGTTTGCTTTCATTAAATTCCAAGAGGGGCGTAACGTAGTTTTAGGTGGATGATTATTAGGTTGGCTCAATAATAATAATAATAATAATATATAATTTATTATTTATACCCCGCCCATCTGGCTGGGTTTCCCCAGCCGCTCTAGGCAGCTCCCACCAGAACACTAAAAACACGATAAAAGATCAAACATTAAAAACTTCCCTAAACAGGGCTGCTTTCAGATGTCTTTCCTAAACAGGGCTGCTTTCACGGCTGCTTTCAGATGTCAAAAGTCAGATAGTTGTTTATTTCCTTGACATCTGATGGGAGGGCGTTCCACAGGGCGGGTGCCACTACTGAGAAGGCCCTCTGCCTGGTTCATTAGTATTGATCTATTTTATGAAATTTTGTCCATTTGAAGAGAGGATATGGTGCCCTAAAACCATGTATATAAAACCAGGCCATATGAACCGACGCTTAAGGATTATGTAAATAAAGGACTGCAAAATAAAAGTTCGTGACTTGCAATTCAGATGAATGGAAAAGAGGACACTTTCAAACACATGAGCTTCTAAGATAGTTCATTCTTCTTCTTCTTCTTCTTCTTCTTCTTCTTCTTCTTCTTCTTCTTCTTCTTCTGCCAGTGCTGACTTTTAACAGGGCACATGCAAGAGAGGAGGATCCAGTTCACTATCAAATCATTTGTGCCTCCGGTTAGCAGATTTGTCAATGGTACCAGTGTTAGGACATAATAAGGCAAGTGTTATTGGGGATTCAGCATTCCATGCTGAACATTGGCACCAGCTGCTCATGAATGTGATCAAACCTACAGTCTATTCACACATACTGGGCCCAATGTATAGGAGGCAGGCAGAGAGCAATTCAGCCCAATCCTATGCATGTTTACTCTGAGGTAAATTTAATAGAACTAACCTCCAACTAAGTGCACATAGGGTTGCTGCCTTAATGATTGATGCCTTGAGCACTGCCTCTTGATTAGTTATGTAAAGGTTTATACCACGCTTTGACTTTTCTGGAAAAAAGAAGATGTAAAAAATGTCAGCATCAGGACAGTCTTTAGGGATGGGGGAAGGACAGCTTGCTTTTGTCTGAGCTTACCGCTTGCAAAGTTATTTTAAAAATTAGTCCATGAAAGCTTATAATAAATTTGTTAGTCTTTAAGAAGCCACCAAACACTATGTTGATCAGTAATGAAAACAGTATAGTTCTAAGTGACTTAAGGCTTATACAAACTTAAACCAGAGCTTTTGGATTCCTAAAGCCAAAACAAAACAAAAACTCCAGAATCCTGAAAATTAGTTCTGTTGTATTGTATGTGTTTTAAAACACAAATGGCAAACATCACACAGTGGTGAGGAGGGCATGGGGTTGTTGTTTTTTTTGCAGGAATTTGAAGAAGCTAAGAGTTTGGGGTTAGGAGAGACTGGCTAAAGTTGGAGTATGTAAGAGCATATTCAGTGGATGAATGGGGGTTTCTTGTTAAGATTTAAAAATGGTGCTATCTTACTATGAATGAATTGCTATTAAACTTTTTTATGCTTCTGCTGACAACATTTTCTTTTTAGCTGTAGTTGGCAATGCTCTTCCTTTGAAACGTCTCTGGGTGTCTTCAGTTGAACATGTCAGAATAAACCGCTTTTATTTCCAAATAAGCACTGGTCTGTTTCTTCTTTTTTGTAAAGCATACTTGAATTGCCGAATT